ACTTATACACACTCCACAACCACCTCTTACGCCTCTTGCCACTCACCTCTCTGTAAAGGCCAGCCTGGGTGCCCTCGGTGTCCAGATGTACCGGGTGACCCACAGCTGGGAGGCCCACCACAGGCCAAAGCCCAGCCCAAGGTGCCAGATGAGCCAGCGCCGCTCCCCGTTCCCTTCCGTACAAGTCCACTTTAAGAAGCCAGGCATCAGTTCCAACAGGCTATTGTCAACATAACACATCTGAAATACACGTAATAAAACTGAATAGCAAAGAAAAATATTTTCGTTCAAAATCTAGATTGATTACCGTATAAGTGAAATTATATCCCACGTTAAGGGTGCAGAATAAAATCGCACTAAAGACAAACACTGTTGAATATTTTTCAAGATACAAAAGTTACTCAGATTCATATTTCAGCTATTGATATTTCCTCAGATCGAAACTGTTTATATTTCATACTTGGATCGTTAAAAGTCTTTATTAATATCAAATATCTGTTTATCACTCACCGTTATGATAATTGCCACAGAGACCGGAGTTGCTAAACTCAGAGGTATGGCGAAAGAAATCCGTTGCATGCAGAGCTTACACGCCAGCCTTGCGAAGTAATAACACAGTCCTGAACTCGCGATTTGAACTATGAGAGGTAGGTAGGTCTCCCATTGCCCCCATCGATATGTGTACAAGAAGTCGCAAACAGTGACGTTCTTTCCGTCAGCGGTGGTATTCGTTTGGTAGCATCTCAGCACTTCCACGCTTTCGAAGGCAGTTTCAGGGTCGTAATTGCTGGAAACACCCGGTTGGGCAGAAATTCCCGGTTGTCTTTGCGGACCCATTTGAAGGGGATTCAAGTCGGCCAGGGGTGACATGGTGACATTCAGTTGAGGTGGCATTATGACGACAGGTTTGGTCAGATTGTTAGCCTGTGAAAAAATATGAGTGCAAAAAGGGGTTCAGTTTAAGGAATAGAATGAAGGGTTAAAGTAACTTGTTAATTCGTAAATCAAAGCTACATTATTTATAGTAAGACAGAATTTCTAACCTGCGTGATTTGCAGTTCAAACACGTACTCTCTCTGTCTCTCTCTGTCTCTCTCTCTGTCTCTCTCTCTCTCTGTCTATCTCTCTCTCCCCCTCTCTCTCTCTCTCTCTCTCTC